TTTCCTTAAATTAATGTCATCTCTGCTCCAATCCTTCATCTCTGACAAAAGCCCCCAGCAGAATCTCACTCAATAATTCCCTTTGCTCTTTGCCACGGCCGTATTCCTCATATCAGAAACTCAACCAAGACATTGCTACAGCTCAAATTGTTTCCAATCTTAACCTCTTTAATGAGCTCCTCTGCATTAGTGAGCACCAGGTTCAGTGACACTTCAACTCTGGTTGGTTTGTGTAACAGCTGGACCAGGAAGCTATCCAGTGAACTCAGGTGTCTTCTGCATTTCTTGGAGCCCATGGCATTGCCTTCCTAGAAGACATTCTGCTGGTTGAAAACTCTCGCCAAAATTATAGCCTGCAAGCATAAAAAATCTTGCAGTTGAAGCAAAAAGGCCTCATTCACACAATCTCTCTGTTCAGGTGACCTGTTGTAGACCCTGACCACTAAATATCTTTAATTGATTTGCTCCCTGATTTTTATCCACAAACTCACAACCTGGTCATGGCTGTTCTCAGAGGCAGCTCTCTGCAATGTATCCTCTTCTTAATGTAGAGGGAAATCTCATCCCTCTTTCCCTGACAATCTCTTCTTGAAAAGCTTGTAGCCCTCCAACATCACACTGTAGCTGTGCAAATCAAAGCCTCTACAGCCACACTGCTGGGTACCTGTAGGGTCACCTGCGTGTATCTGTTCAATCCTCTAAAAAGTCTGAAGCCATTATCTAACTGACCAGAGATTGACATCTTATAAGTTCAGTGAAAATCAGCTATAAATTACATGAGAACATGAGAAGGTAACTGCACTGTAAAGCAATCTCTATCTGTAAGAAATTCTCATAAAAAAGGAATAATAGTAACGGTGAAAAGTATTCTCATTAGAGTTTGTACCTTATCAGCACGTAACAGCTAGCAACAAAACGCAAAACCAAAGGTTCTATGCCTCCATAAATATTTGTTAATGCAGATGCTGAATGACTTATTTGCTCTTCTTTACTTCTCTGGGCTTCAGCTGCATTACTCTTAAGTAGAATCATAGAATCACCAAAGTTGGAAATGACCTCCAAGATCATATTTCCCCATTAACCCATGTTCCTCAATACAAGACCTAAACTGTTTCTTGAACACCTCCAGGGACAAAGATTCTACCTCCCTGGGCAGCCTGTTCCAGTGCCTTACCACTCTCTCAGAGAAAATGTATTTCCTAATGTCCATCCTGAATCTCCCCTGGTGCAAGTTCAGGACATTCCCTCTAGTTCTATCACAAGTTGCGTGGGAGAAGAGGCCCACCCCACCTTGCCACAACCTCCTTCAGAGTGTAGTTGAGAGCTATAAGGTCTCCTCTGGGCCTCCTTTTCTCCAGACAAGACAGCCCCAGCTCCCTCAGTCACTAATTGCAAGACTTGTGCTCCAGATTCTCACCAGTTTTACAGCCCTTTTCCGGACACATTCCAGGGCCTCAATGTCTTTCTTGTAGTAAGGGGCCCAAAACTGAACACAATAATGGAGGCGTGGCCTCACCAAATCTGAATACAGAGGGATGATTGCTTCCCTGCTCCTGCTGGCAACACTATTTCTGATACAAGCCAGGATGCCACTGGCCTTCTTGGCCACCTGGGCGCACTGTTGGCTTACGTTCAGCCGAGCATTGACCAACATTCCCAGGTCTGTTTCTTCCATAAAGTCTTCCAGCCACCCTGCCCCAATCCTGAAGAATTGCCTGGGGTTGTTGTGGCCAAAGTATTGGACCTGGTACTTGGTCTTGTTGAACTTCATCCCACCGGTCTCAGCCCAGCTATCTTGCCTGACCACGTCCCTCTGTAGGGCCTTTCCTTTAGGAAATTGACACCTCCTGCTAACTTGGTGTCATCTGCCAGTTTACTGAGGGTGTGCTCAATCCCTTCGCCCAGGTCATCAATACAGATATCAAACAGGACAGGCACCAGTACTGACCCCTGGGGAATAGAGGTGCAGAAACAACCACTGCTACACCTGAAAATACATTTGTTATGCACAACAGCCATTGTTGGCTCAGATAAAAAAGATCCTGTAATGGAAATTTCCAAAGTTTCTACAACAAGGATCACTGTCTCCTTTCCTTACAGGATGCACTGCATTCCACCACACATTTAAGTGAAAATACTCCTAGTGGTTTAGAGAAAATATTATGGTATTTTATGGTTTTGACTTTAATTGAGGAAGGAGTTGAAAAGAGTATACTACTCCATTAGAATAATTAATATTCTACATCTGAAATCTGGATGAATAAAAAACAGTACTGTATAAAAGATTCAAGTTTTTACTTTTTTTACAGAAATTCCTAAATAATGGTAGATTACTTCATAGAATGGATTCAATAAACCATAGCAAAAAGAAGTGCAAAATACCTATTTATTCATGGCCATAAAGATTATTTCTCTTGTGTCACTATAAATGTGAAAACCACAGGCTTTTTTGAGTGATCTCACAAGGTATCTTCATGTTTCAAAATCTCAACTCTATTCAGCTGATTTAAAAAGTAATTTAAAAGTAGACACCTGGAACAGTTCTTTTTTCCTCTCTGGAACATTAGCATCACCAGCATGTAAGCATGGCAACTCAAACCCCAGGATGCTGCCTACATGCAATTAGTCAGTGTGACTTAAGCAGGGTCAGCATCTGGCTGCTTTTAATTTAATTTTTTTTTTTTTTTTGTGGAAGACAAAGGATTTAACAGCCAATTTGTTCATATGAGATTTGTGAGCCTACATGCAAGCCTCCAAACAACTCCTGCTCTTTCCTTTCCTACTTAGTTTTTCTTTGTTTGTTTTTTTGTGAGCAGAGGTGATAAGCATTTTTTCTTTTTAAAGCTTTTCACTAGAAATTACTTGCCTGTTTCAAAAAAAAAAAAAAAAAGATAAATTCCCAGTGAAATCCAGCAAAGACAGTGGTGAGGAAAGTTTCCAGGTCTATTCCTAACAAGCAGATCACGTTAGAGCCAAGGAATATTTAGTGTTTCTAGATAAAGAAATCCCAAGACACTTTTCCACACAATAATGTGGATTCAAAACTGCTGCTTAGAGACTTGGGTTGTTTTGCTTTTTCCAGATTTCTCTTTTGTATAAAATTGCAATATTTCAGCTTTTCCTTCTAGAATATAAGTTAAAAATTTGGTGTACTGCTTGCAACAAAAATGTTTTATGCTAACTAGTTTTACTTCTGATGATTTCAAGGTCAAGCACTCAGCATTTAGTTTACTTCAGACAACACAGAATTCAGTGGCACGTATCTCCCACCACTCTTTGTCCTCTGCCCTTTTCTTGAAGACAGTAAATGCTAACCTGCACCATCAAAAGTTGTCAGTGCTCCACAGAAGCACTGCCCTTCTCATCATATATATTCTTCCAGTTTTGTGCTTAGGAAATGAGGAAATTTCAGCCAGTGCTAGGCTGTAAGGAATAAAACTCAAAATACTGTGTGTTAAAACAACCTAAGATGATAAAGTTTAAACTTGCAAGAAATATTGTTACTTTTCACTAAGACTGAAATTATGTTTAGAATGAACAAAGCACTTATTCCATATTAAAAACAGCTCAGCTATTACAGTGCCTGATCTTGTGCTATTAACACACACTGATAAATGTACGAATATATTTAGAGGGGAGGTATTTTAACAAATCTGGGGGAAGATAAAATCACAGCTACTGAACTCCTCATTTTGGAAATGTTAATAGGCCGTGAAGTGCTATGTTTGGGTTAATAAAAAGCTGCATTTTTCTGTCAGAGACTATTTGTATTTGCTATTAGCAATATCACAATATCACAGACACCCATGACACCTTTGAGAGAAAAAGAGCTTATTTCTAAAATTGCGAAATTGTTAGTGAAAATACAAGAAGAAAAATGTTTAGAATAAATTGTAAGTCAGAACTTGATAACAGAAGTTGTGGATGTCATGTGTCTACACTGAAGTGCTTAGGAAAAATTGGAATAGAAAATCAGCCACGTATTTCAGAAAAACAGCATTTTTCCACATTTCATACCAAACACACTGTTTTGGGTAAGTGCAACTGAAAAGGAGAAAGAAGTGTGAAGAAGTGACATCTCTCTTTTCTACTGGGAATTTTCTTTTGTTGCTTACAAGAATTTCACTATATAAACACCAAGCCAGTTTCCATCATGTAAAATTGCAAGCCTTAGCACTTGCAGACCTTGCAGTCCAGGAGAAATGAAGCCAGACTTCCATACTTGCATCACTAGATCAGTTACAACCTCTGCTTGTAAAAGACAAGACAACAACAGAAGCACTAAAACGGTCCAGTAAATGGAGTCCAGTCACCCCTCTATCCGTCTGGTGGAAGTCACTAAAGCTATAGACACAGAGGTTGCACATTCACCTGAAGGGAGATGCAAATACACTAAAACTGTCTCAACAACCAAGCCAGCCTGCACAGAGAAAAATGTTGCTCAGATCTGATTAGAGCTTGAAAATAACTACAAGGATAGCAATTTTCCATCATCCTTTACTTTCTTCTAAAAGTCGTATCTTCTTCTGACCCTACGTGTCTACTGCTTCCTGTCTTCATTCCAAACATTTTTCCACAAGGCAGAAATAATATTTCACTTCAGCGCCTTCATAATCTCATCACTGGCATTGCACTGCATTTATACCAGAATTACCACCAGTACCTAGCCCAGGAGATATCCTGGCCACATCTATTCCAGACTTCAATATAGGTTATGAAGTCTACTGGACCTTGTCAAAGGCAGATTTTTTCTGCAAGGAAGTGGATTTATGATCTTCCAGCATTACAAAAGAATCCTAATTTGATTCATACTCAAGCAACCAAGAATCAAGATTCTGTTTTGATACAGTGAGGAATACAGTGATACTTAAATCACATAAATAAAACTTTCAGACTTGAAAGTCTTGACGTCTCTTAATGATCTCACAGAATTTAATAACTCTGATAACTAAAGAACAGAAGACTTCTGAAAAGAAACAGATAGTTTTTTTTTTTCTTACCCTGATTTCTCACTCAGTTTTCTTTCACTGTTGAGAAGCACAGACTCTTCTTTCAGCTCTTGTTCTGTGAATGTGTTATTCCCAAGCTCCTGCTGATTATTTGTTTCCCACGCACCATTACCATCATCCTCCTGCAATACAAAAGCATGTGTTCTTGTGATATCCAAACTGTCATAGCGCATCGAAGGAAGCACAGCTTTTGTGTTCGAAAGATTTTGTAAAAGAAGTTTCTACCTGAAATTCTACTTGAGTTTCAGGAGTTGATTCCTTCCCTTCAGCAGTTTCTGCTACTTTGCCACAATGTCCAGACTCAAATTTTGGCATCTCTGACTCAGCAGAAATTTCCCCAGATGATATATCACAGACTTCATTTTGGCCCAATATAATCCAACCCTCATCTTGCCCAAATCTTTCTCCTGATTCCCTTTCATCCTCGAGTTTTTGAGGCACAACAGAAGAGCTTTTCTCATCTAAGTCCCATTCAGCCCCACAAGCAGATTGGTCTTCCCTTTCATTTATTATGGAGATTGACTGAAAGGTATCCAATGGGCTTCGTGAAAAGCCTTCATTAGATTCTATTTGTCCAGGTACAACAGCCTCTTGAAACACAAAATCACTTTCCCTTGCTGAAGCCACATTTTCTTCCTCAGTAACAAGGATGTAATCCATCTCTACTGAAGCTGGATCTCTGTGAACCTGCATTCTCATATCCTCCTTACTCTCTGTACTTTCCAGTTCAGGGCTCTCAGAAGAATTTCTTGGCTTATTCTCTCTTCTAAGCACGGAAGTAGCATCAGCTTCTAAAAAAACAGACAAACAGAAATTCTTTTTAGTTTTTGAATTACTATTTTAGTCACCATGGCTAAATCAGTACTGTAAGATAAAGTTCCTTTCAGTTTTCTTTGACAGACTCTGTTAATGTGTACTTGAATTTTACAATATCATAATCATTATTAAAGATTGTACATTAACACCATAATCACTCCTAAGGGAAAAATGATTCAGTGTCCCATAGATCCTGCACAAACAACAGAAACAACATCCCAACTTGAAAGTTCAAAAGGTTTAAACGTGCTTAGAAGAAGAATGCTTGAACTACTCCCAACAGCAGAGCTCTGTACATCAAGGGGACACATATGTGAACATTCAGCAGTAATACTCCAGACATTTCTTTCTTGTTTTCTTACCAGCAGGTGATCTTTTATCTCCACCTGGCGGTGAGTCGAGATCAGTTGCTTCTTTCAAAACCACAGAAATTCCGAGAGCTTCTTGGGACTCTAAGAATGAAGGTTCTGACATGTGATTCTTCTGAAGGATCTCTGGTAAAGACACCTGATCTTCGATGCTATTTTCTTTGGTCATTAGGATGCCTTCATCACCTTCCAAGGGAGTTAGTGGTAAAGGCTTTTCATAAGAAACATTGTTACAAAATGGCTGCTTTAACAAGAGTTCACCCCTTGTACATCTGCTGCTAGAGGGTTCAGCATCAAAAGACACATAGAATGGTGGAGTGTACACCACTAGTGACTGGTCGCTGGGCATTTCCTTAAACACAGGAACATCTTTCTCAATTATGTCTTCACATTCTTTTGTTATGTTCAATTGATCATTTGAATTAGATTCAAAGCCCTCATTATCACCAAGAAGAAAGGATTTGGGAAAGAATATTTGTGTATTCTTTGATTTTCCTTCTGTTGCTTCACTACCTGCTACTTCTAATATATTAATTTCACCACATGTGCTCACTGTCATACTACTGACTGACGTGTTACAGATGTTATGTTCCAAACCCTTCTCAGATTCATCCAAGAACTCTGCTGGTATGTCATCACCAGTTATAGCTACCTTCTCAAAATCAGAATATTTTCCAGCTTCATCCAAAGCACTAATTTCTTTCAAGTTCTGCTCTGCTTTATCAGGTAGAGTTAAATTCATGGGAACCAAGTTTGTCTGGAAGGTCGCCATTTGAGACAAATCTGTTGGTGTTCCTTGATAACTTACAGGAATATAACTTTCATGGAATGCATCTTTCAGATCTAATGATGTCATTCCTAAAACTTCACTGGGGATGTTGACTGATTCAGTTGTCTTAAGAGCAGGTTTATTTTCTAGATCATGTTCCAAAACTGCAAATTCGAGAGGCTCCTGAGAATTAGAAGACATAAGCTGATATGATTCATCAGTCTTTCCCTGATCACAGTCTTGGGGACTACTACTTTTAGATTCAGCCTCTGTCTTCTGCATTACAAACTGACTCTTTGTGTCAGAATCTATCTCTTTACTCTTATTTGACTGCATGTGAGTCATCTGACTATCTTGTCTTTCAGGTTTTACACTAATCTGGGAAGATGGGATAGAGGCATGCTTAACTTCATATTCTTGGCACACATCTGGACTGTTTGACGCCTCAGAACTACTGTCTTGTTCACAATGATTTAATATATCAGGATTTTCAGTAACTGATTTCAAAGTGACAGGCTGTTCAGCACTAGTCCACAGGTCAGGTTCCATTGAAAATGACTGATTACCTTCTTTTGTGTTATCTTGTAAAATATCTGGGATAAGTGCAGTTTGGGAAACCAATACATTCAACATTGGACTTGACTTCTCTGTCATTTCAAAAGACAAGTCTTCTATAGTGAAAGCTGGTAGATGGTTGTGTTCTACTGTTTCACCAGTGTCTAGCTGTTGTTCTAGAGGGATGAGATTTGCATTTCCCTCATGGCCTTCTGGTTGATCATGTACTATGGTTTTTTGATCTGCTGTATTTGACATATCTTGTTGAACATATGAAAAAGTATTCTGTGAAGACAGTTGATTACTCTCATTTGTGGGAAAAAACTGCTCTTTCAAGTCCCTTTCTTCTGTATCATCTAGTATAAAAGGATCATATTGTTTGAACTCCTCAGTGTCTTCATTTACTTGGCTATCAGAAAGATTCATAGGATATAATAGCCTTTCATTTTCTTCCACATCACAGTACAGGTGAACAGGCTGATTTCCATCATTTGGTTCAGTGGAATGCGTTTCTGTTAGCTCTTCATTTTGTGCAGGTGATCTACAGGACTCCTCCTTATTGTTTGTTACTTGATATGTTGCAGAGTGACTTGAAATCGAATTCTGGTCTTCCACCAGGTTTTCTCCACAAGTTGGTGAATTCCACCATCCTGAACTGTCATACGGAAAATCAAATGTTCCTACACTGAATTTCTGATCAGTTCCTAAATCAGCTTCCAATGACAAACTCCACATACCACTTTCTGCAAAGTATTCTTTTTTACCACCAACAGAAGTCATTGTTTCATCTGCATTCATCTGATACAAATGTGAACCTTCTGTGCTACCCACTTTTTCGCTGCAAAGACTCACTTGAGCCTTATTCTGAAGTGTTTCACGCTGATCTAAATATTCAGAAGTCTCATTATGCTCTACTACGTTAAAGTCCTCCCGTGATACATTCTGAACTTCAACAGTTTCAGGGTTTTTATTTAAGATATCTGCAAAGATGTCTTCTGCCACTTCATTTTTTGCATCCAAATTGTCTTCATTTGCTTCAGGACTTGTTGCATTTGATTTTGCATAATCTGCACCAATTTCAGATAATTTGTGCTCCTTGTTTTCATATGTGGAATCTTCATTCAGTTCTTCTGGACATGCCTCTGAATTCTCTGAATCCTCATTTAGTTCCGGACTTGATAAAGAAGATACAGTATCATCATCTACATGAGCATTCCAAAAATCTAAGCTTTTGGGAACCTTATTCTGTGCTGTGCTTTTTTCAAATTGTTCTTGATCTTTATTCCCAAAGTCTTTGATTTTGCAAGCCTCCTTAAGATTTTTATCATTTTTACTATCCCACATATCTTTTTTTTCTTTGTGATTACTGTCAACTGGAAGTTCTCCCCACACATTCACTGATGCATCACTTAAATCAGGACTCGTTCCACTTGAGTGTGTATAATCATCTATTGTATCACTCCATACATTATCTTTCTCCAAATAACTTCTGATCTGTATATCCTTTGAAAGGCTGCTTGTGGTGGTTGCCATTTCATGGACTTCACTTGCTTCAGGACTTGTTCCAGGAGATTTAAAATCCTCATGTTGCTGTAAATTCCAAGCAGTTTCAGGAAAACTGTTATTAAGCGTTACACACAGTTCCCTGCAAAGCTTATCAGCAGATTCTAAATTTTCAGAATTTTCGTTTTTCCCCAAAGCTATATCATGTGAAAATGAATTATCCATCATAGACATGTCTGTGATGTCAGGAACACTGACATAACCAGCAGAAGGACTCTTCTTAAATTTAGTAGATGGAGACTCATCTATGAAAATATTTTCATGAGTGCTGCTTAGTTCTGAGCTATTTTCAAAAGACACTAACTTAGAATTGCTTACGTGTGGGTGGTTCAACACTTTATGTGAGCCCTCTGTTATATCTCCCAATATTTCTGATGGTTCATTCATCAAAGGAATTGACATAGGTAAGTGGCAACCAGAGTCATTCTTTCCAGAGTCATTCCAGCTATCTGACTTTGCAGGCATTTTAGAAGAATTATTTTCAAAGATACTTTCCGTTTCAGGACTTGTTGCATCCTCTATCACTACAGTCTCCTTTTCATCTTTCTCAGTAAGAGGCTGTAATATTTCACTGTAACTGTAACTTTGTGGTCTGGAGTCACCAAGAGATTCATAATTTCTGTCTTCCTCAGAAGCACTTGAAGAAGACTCTGCATCATTCTGTGACAATTCCTTCCTCTCCTCTTGACTGATTAGATTACTCTGATTGGAAAATGACTCATTATCTGTGACAAAGTCTTCCAAACTAAAACTAGTCCTTATTTTTTCTAGCGATCTAGAAAACTCAGATTTTGACCTCTTGTCTTCTGAATCTGTGTTACATGAAGGCTCACTGCTGTCTTCTGCTGGTTTGCTGCAAATGTCAGTAATAGTTTGTTTTCCATCTGTCTCATCTGTTATCTTATATTCCTCTTCTCCTTCCTGAGAGATGACAATGGCATTGTCCCAGCCTTTCTCACAATCCTGCTCAGATTGTAAATTCCATGAGTTAAGATGTTGCTCTAAATGCTGACTACTCAATTTTTCATCAACATCTGGAGTGTTTTGTGCTGGCTCCTTACTCGATGTCTCACTTTCTAAATCACGTATTTTCAGATCCAAACTATTTCCAGCATCTGAAGTTGGTGTAGATGTGCCTGTGTCTTCTACAGGAGCACTGCTCAATGCTTCTATATTTGCAGCTAAACTTTGTGCAGTATTTCCTTCATTCTGTGGTGGTGATAAGTCATTCACTGTTGGATTGTATAGTGCTGTAACTCTTTTGTTTTCGAATGCAGAAAAGGTATTTTCATTGGTATGTACCTCGGTTGAAAAATACTGATCTGTTGCTTGTTCTGAATTAAGTAACAGTTTAGCAGAGGTAGAAAGAGCAGTACTGTTCGAATTTCTTTCTTGTAATTGGGCATCAACATTATTTAAGAGCGTGCTCCAAATGCCTGTGTCTTTGCATCTTGAAAAGGGCATGTTTATAGGAGACAATAGTTCATTATTTGCTTTCTCAAGTTCTTTCGGTTCAGCCAAATTTGGGCTTATCAATTTATCAGTAATTGTTTCTTGGGCAAAATCTCCACCCTCATTTTCTCTTCCATTTTCCACATATGTAGGTGATATATAAGAATCAGATGTTGAGTAATTGGTGTCTGGTGGAGAAACAGCTAAGTCTTCACTTATATTTGATGAGCAAAGATCTGAGTGTTTATACAAGAAGGTATCATCCCAGGGTACCACTATTTCCGTTACCTCTTTCCTGATGTTTTTATCATACCTATTCCAGGTCTCTACATTTTCAAGTTGTATTGGCCTGTTCTTAGGGTCGCCAAATAGAGTTTTTTTCTCTGTTTCTAATGTGGAGTTATTCTGCATATTGTTGATATCAGAATTTGTATTTTCAGATGATTGACTCTCTTCTAGGGAATAACATCTTCTTTTATCCCAGGCTTGTAGAGATACCTGGGTAGGTGAGTTTTCAGTCTCATTGTCTGCTACAATTTCTGAAGAATCTGATAAACTATGTTTTGTTCTGGTCCATTTCTCAGGAACATTAACTGATTTTTTTTGTCTATCCAGTCTGGACACATTCCATAGTTCTTCTGAGGATCTAGCAATATTTTCTGTGTCAAACTTCATCCAGACATCATAAGAGTCTCCTTTTCCTTCTCCACTGGACCATGCATCTGACATCACAGGTGTTGGCTGACTGATCTTCCATGCAGCATTAAAACTCTCTGATTCTTGTTCTGTCCCCTCTGAAGAAGCAGTTTGCAAACACAAATGTTCACTGTTTTCCTCTTTTTTTTCTTGTTTTTGATTATCTAGTTTAAACTGATTATCCCACAGATCTGTTGTCGTGTATTCCATTTGCTCAGGCTGTTTTTGGAGGAAAACAGAATCTGATGCTCTTCTATCAATATGTCCTTGTAGCAGTGGGCTTGCTTTACAATTGTTCCACAAGACAGGGCTCTGAAATACAGATTCTTGTTCACTTGAACTCCATGTATCAGTATTTCGGGACTCTAAGTCAAAGCCATCCCACCAGCTTCCATATCTGACACGTGAACGAGAACACTTTGTGTCCTCTATTTCATTTATTTTTTTAATAACTTCTTGTGGGAAAAATAAAGGCTGCCCATTATCTAGTGGTGAAGTTTCTACAAGACTGTTCATTGGAGTCGGGGGAATTCTTGAATCAGCAGATTTCAACATTTCTGGTGAGGAAGTATCACCCTCAACTAAATTAATCAAACTTGAAGTTTTCTCAAACATTTCTCCTGGACTCACATCAAATTCAGCTAAACTATCTTCCTTTTTTGCTGTCATAATTAAGTCAGTTGAATAATTTGCCGTATCACTTTCTAGCAAGTTTGTTTCGTCATGTTCTTTCTGCACAGCAAGTTGTTGCCCTTCTGATGAATCACTATTAAGGAAATAGTCATCTGCTGGAGAACAGTCAACAGAACGAGAAGAGGATTCAGATGGAGCTGTAACCACTGGTGCTAGATCAAAATTGAAAAGGTCAAAGTTACCACTGCTGTCTCTAGATTGAGGTTTTTGTTCTTCTGCTATCGCTCCTTCAGGAATAGGGCTGTAGGAATCAAAGCCAGGCAGAAGACTATGATGGGAAACAGCACCTTCTGCAACAGGGCTGTCATCACTAAGGAAAACAGAGCTCTCCTTGGAAGACCTGCTGCTTCTAATGGTAGCCAAGCCACTGTCTGGACTCACAAGGTCTACATTAAGATCAACATGGGCTTGAATGGATCCATTTAAATCCTGAGGATTTTCTATAAAGTTGACAGAACTGGTCTGTGGTTCTACATCAGAGCCATATAACTCCACAATACCAGAAGACCCTTGTGAAAGAGGAGCACTTCCAGCGACAGCTTCAGTAGAAGATGTTCTACTGTTTGATACCATTTCTGGTTGTCTTCTATTCATGACTTCCTTAATGAGAAGAAAAATTTGATCACAGGTAACCAAAGAATTTTCTTGATGATAAATAAGAATCTGGTCACATCCACACTCCAGTGGATCCAGCTCCAAGCAAGGATTTTGACATTCTTCTAATTCGCAGCAAATCTGTTGAAAAACAGGACGTTTAAAAAGCAATTACAATCATAGGTAGCAGGTCACAGTCTATTCCACAGTGCAACACAGTCATAGCTATCTATTCCAATTTATTTACAACAGACATTTTACACACTAAATCAGTGAAATATTAAAAGCTTGGTATAAAATATATATTATGCAATTGATCATAATGTTTACATGAAATGATTCAATTTGACTTCCAAGTTTATTTTTCATTAATAAAAGAAAATCCAAATTCTTAATTATTGCCTTAAGAAATCTGAGTAAAATATATAAAGGGTATGTGAGAGAAGAATTTCTAGAATAATCAAGTTCATAAAATAAAAACATTTATGTTGATCCTGAAGCAATAGGGTCCTTTAGGTACCTGTTTCTAAAATGAGAAGTTTTAAGAAAAAGACAAAGGTACAACGAGTTGCCCTGTGGTAATTTCCTCAATTTGGGGACAAATGCATGGGAAAAAGACAACATTTGACTTTGGATAAACTTTTGTTCTAGAAATAATTTGGCTTAATTTCAGAGCTTAAATTATTCAGTGATAAAATACACAGATATGAAATCTGATCAGTTTCATTTATATGATTGTTCATGACCCATTGTAAAAGAGTAGAACACAATTCCTGTCCTATGTGACATTGTGTATTGTATATTAAAATATAAAAACAAGCCAAAACCAGTAAAAAATAAATAATTCTGTTTTGTACAGTCTTACTGTACTTCCAGTGACTATCCAATCTTTCTATTAGGCTGTTCTGAAGCAATCATGAGTAACACAATCTTGCATTTCACATCACATGCATAATGCAGTCATTTCAAATTGCTACTCCATTGCCAGCCAACTGTAGTTATTTCTTGTATCCACCTAGTTTCTAAACTTTTGCATATACTTTAAAAAAAAATCACTATTTTTAAAGCAAAATACTTCTAACTTATTTTTCCAGGTACTTACTTGATTGCCAAGCTCTAAGTTTTCCGAGTATACTGCTATTTGCCGTTTTGTTTGCTCATCATCTGACAAAGAGTTGGCCAAAATTACAAGTACATCAAACCTGTATTTACATATGAATGCTTTCAGATCACCAATAAGATTCCTGTGTAACAGGCAGTCCTGAAATAAGATAAGGAATTTAGAGGTCAGTGCATTTTTCTTACTCTTCCCATCCATATCTGTGGTGAAAATAGAAACACTCATACACAACAGTGGCTCTAGTTATAGAATCATAGAATTACAAGGTTGGAAAGGACCTGCAAGATCATCTAGTCCAGCCATCCTCTCATTACCATTGCTACCACAAGCACTAAACCATACCTTGTAGCTCCTCATCCAGACGCCTCTTGAACACTGCCAGGGACGGCGACTCCACCACCTCCCTGGGCAGCCATTCCAGTGCCTGACCACTCTCTGAGAGAAAAAGTTCCTCCTTATGTCTAATCTAAATCTCCCCTGGCGCAACTTGCAACCATTTCCTTGGGTCCTGTCTGTTGCCTGGGAGAAGAGGCCAAATCCCTCTTCACCACAACCTCTCTTCAGGAAGTTGTAGAGTGCAGTGAGGTCTCCCCTGAGCCTCCTCTTCTCCAGACTGAACAATCCCAGCTCCCTCAGCTGCTCTCATAAGACCTTTTCTCCAGATCCCTCATCAGTTTCGTTGCTGAAGAGCAGGTCTAGCAGGGCATCATCCCTAGTAGGCTCTTGTACCAGCTGTGCAAGGAAGCTGTCTTCCACGCACTCTAGAAACTTCTTGGACTGCTTCCTCTCTGCTGTATTATACTTCCCACATACATCAGGGAAGTTGAAGCCTGCAATGAGAACCAGTGCTGGCGAATGTGCATCTTCTGCAAGCTGCTCACAGGATGCCTCGTCCTTCTCTGCATCCTGATTAGATGGTCTGTAACAGACCCCACCAAGATGTCACCCCTACAGGCCTTTCCCCCAGTGCTTATCCACAGACACTCAACTTTATCATTCCCAACTCTTCAACATCAAAACACTGTAATATAAAGAACCACACCACCATACTTCCTTCCTTGTCTATCCTTTCTGAAGAGCTTGTAGCCAATCATCTCAGCACTCCATCATGAGTGGTTCCACCATGTTTCAGTAATAGCAACTAGGTCATAGCCTGCTGCACAATCACGTCCACCTCCTCCTGCTTGTTGCCCATGCTGTGTGCATTGGCATAGATGCACTTCAGCTGAATCATCTGCCTTACCCCCAGCTCAAGCATCGTTCCCCTAAGACTAGTGCAATGTAGGATTAGCTAGATTTTGCAGGGTAAGTTATCCATTCTTTTTCTTGGGGCCATAACACATGAAGAGCAAATGTCCCACTTCAGTCATCAGTTCTGAAAATTGCTAGTGAAGAAATTACCAGAAACTTTATTTTCTCCCTTATGTTCCTATTTGTATTTGAGAGTTTTTTTTTTTATCTTCAAGTTAAACACAGTGTCATATGCTATAATAGTTGTGATGCTGCCAAGCTACACTGGCCCTGAATAAACAGCAGTTCATCATAAATACAAAACAACTGTATATGCAGATCGGAATATTATTCCCTTGCATCTGTCTCCTACCTGATAAATTACTGTTTTGGTTAGATAAATACAAATACTATTTATTAATCTGCTCAAATGTGTCCACAAAATGCCTCTCCCACCCCTATAAGTTGAACTTAAAAAAAATATCTTTTTTCAAGAATTTTGGAAGTAGATTCCTTCCTAGATTAGAAATGAAATTCTGCTTTGATGTTTGTAATAAGTAGAACAATAACTTGATCTACATTAAAACCATGCAGAAGTCAGCTAACAGTTTACTGGTGGACATTCACATATAAATTCTGAATAGGAAGATAGGTGAAGAATTATGGTGAATAAGGTTTGAATGTCCAACTACGTCTCAGCTGTTCAGTCACACCCAGTTGCTCACTCACACCCAGGAAGCTCATAGTTCAACTGCAGATTCATTGTACCAGGTGTTCACCACTGTAGACATGGTAAATAAATGACAGGTTTAATACACATTCAGCCTTCTAGCCTCATTATTCTTTAGCTTCTAAATTATTTCTATATTCTTGAATTGATTGAAAAGGCAAGGGATTAAACATTTTCTGCCAAAATCAACTGATTGAACAGGAAACTTCATGAAAGAAACACTGCCTGGGATAATTTTTGCCCACCCGCTGCCAGACTGTGCTCACATCCATTGTTGGTATCCATAAACATTCAGTAAGCATCAATGAATGTGTGCCATTTTCAGTGCATGGAGGAATTCAATGACACACCTTTGTTTCAGATGCACTTCCACGTCACACACCATTTTATCAGACTGTTCCTCTGCTGTAATATGTCACATGGCAATAAAATATAGTAGAATACTGGGGGAAAGGTTCAACTTCTACTGCCATACCGCCAACATCTGCCTCATACGTTGTGGGCCAACATGATAAAAATGACATAAAAAGGAGGCACTACTTTGCGAGCCACCCTTGCAAAAGGTCTAGTGACCAAAAGAGAGAAATCCCTTCTGCAGCCAGGATATGCCCAATGTGCTGCATGAAGACCACTGCCAGTTCAGTGCTTCATCTTTCTGGGTTCCCATAACATAAAGGGACATAAGACTATATGCTAAGACTAGAGCTAAAACATTAGCTCTAGAAAGCAGTATTTTAAAGATACCTTACCAAGTCTGTTTCTCTTTTAAATAATGGACCAGCACTGCCTACTGTAAAACACTCAGAGCAGCACAGGAAAGAGTTTAGCTGAGCTAACATTAAACATCATGTCTTTAAACAAAACAAGCAGATTACATATGGATTAGATTTTTAAATCTAAGATGGAAAGAGAAGTTTTACAGTGACATAAAATCAGCATTAATACGGAGGATGCCATTAAAGTGTATCAAAGCATAGGCCAAGTTGAGCAGAATTAAGTGATCACAGCCAATTTGTTACTTTATAGGATGAATCTTACACCATGGACAACTGTCTGACAAAATTTTCATTATTCAGCAGAGGTATGAAACCCAAGACTGCTGTCATTCTGCAGCACCATGACAAGTATGTAAGCTTATCACCCTATTGTATAAACATTTACTAGCATTCAGATAATACCTGAGAAAATAAGTTACTAAGATTTCCCAAACATAGTCATTTTAGTAACCAACAATAAATATTTCTCAGAATTTGTTAATTTAACATGTGTCCACAAATGAAAAGAATGGTGAACAGAACTCATTGAAATAATGGCTGAAAAAGTATATTTGTTGGAAGATATTGTTGCCTGAGCTATTAATAAAATCAAGATTGAATTACACATTTTACAGCATCATGACTCAATTTATCTGATTGACTATGAATCAAAATATCTAAATAACATTGTTTCAAAGCAAAGGTACTTTATTAGCAGTATTAAATATTACTGATCAATTTTTAATACTTATCTTAGTTCCACCTCAACATTTCCATAAATTTTATTCGTCTGAACTATTGCTACCAACACAAGCACTCAAATCTTCAAACAGACTTTCATGAACAAGAAATTCTTACATAAAATTACTAAAGACTATAAATTGAAAGACATAATAGACATATGGAATCTTCCACAAATTTGCTAAGTAAACAACCAGAATGTTGTATGTATTATAAACACTAACAGAAGATAAAACATCTCCTTCAAAAATGAATGAAAAAGCTGCTTTTTACCCCCAAATCATTTACAAGCACTGTAAAATACAGTGTTGATGAATTTGTATAACAGGAAATGAACTGCAAGATTGGTCAAAGCATGACAAAGGTCAAATTATTCATTTTATAGTACTTTTCCTTTCTTTATTTGTATGTTTTGGTTTAAATATTAATTCGTATTTGCAGTGTGCAGTAGGTAAACAGCATATATAAGCATTATTAGTTGTAATGCCCTCCAAATACCCTACTACAAAAAAAATGGACTGTAAGTATACTTGAAATGTACTTTACATGAAATAGATAATAACTGATATTAAATATATCAGTGAACAGCACTGTGGATATTGGAGAAATTGAGTATCTTTGCAATTATAATGAAACCATGCATTTGCTTTGTCTAATCCACTTTAAAAGTTTACACTGTGCTAAGAACATGGGGACCATTCTAAAACAATTTGTTTTGGTTTGGTTTTTAATCATTCAGGCAAACAGAATATGAAAGCTCAACAAATCAATGAAATTTGATGCATTTTGCAACACAACCAATTCATTTATTATGCACTCCTATTGTGAAATGCATTACAAATTTTATGCAGGCTGTATGCTGGAACTTATTTCTCTGAAACTCAGTTTTCTTATAGGAACTTAACTGAATAGCTAAAATGTGTGCAGACCTCAAAAAGAAGCAAAGTCTCTGAAAAAATACTCAAAGAGAATTGATAATTTCTCCCTTTCTACACTTTCTGATATATGAAGCCAACAGTCAATTACCCAAGTCATCACTGTAAATGTACATTACACACGCTTCTGATTCTTTTGAGCTAACTGTGTCAATATTAACCTGATCAAATTAAGAACAAACTGTCTCTTTTGTTCTTCACACTCCTCACATGGAGAGCACAATATGGCTTTTGTCAGAGATGCTCCATCATTTTGGCTCAAGGAAACTGTCAGTACAGTTTGGGATTCGTTATTCATGGGCAGATACCCTGATGGGTCTAATGAAGCCTTTCTGCTGACAACTCATTTGCTAAAAATACCCAGCCATCACAAAATATAAATGAGAAATATCACTGCAACTCATTACAGTTTTCACATCCAAAACAATTATCACTATCCAGAAGTCAGTATACACTGCTTAACACTGTATTTTCTTACTATTTCATGGTCAGTACTGTTGTATCCCAGTTTGTTTCTGTGTGATAACTGATAAAACTTTATGACTTACTGAAATTGCAATATAATAGGGTAAACACCAATGTTATGGCACACATGCAGAGCTAACAGTCTGTGTGCCATTTGTTGTAAATCTAGCTAATTACTAGAAGCCCCCACATAAAATAAAAATTAAAGAAAAAAAAAAAAAAAAAAGCAAAATAAACTCGATTTTGCATAGAGGTTTCCAGGTAAGATTGCTAAAAGCAGAAAAC